GTAGTGGTTAAGTTCGCACACTCCACTTCAGCGGCCCGGGGTTCGCAGGTTCGGATCCCGGGCGTGGACCTTCGCACCGCTTGTCAAGCCATGCTGTGGCGGCGTCCCATATAAAGTAGAGGAAGATGGGCACAGATGTTAGCCCAGGGCCAATCTTCCTTAGCAAAAAGAGGAGGATTGGCAACAGATGTTAGCTCAGGGCTAATCTTCCTCACACACACACAAAAAAAGGAGCTTTGATGTCCCATTTGCTTTCTTCTCTCACATCTGGGAGACCCGTGTTTACCAAATTGCTTGTCTTCATTGACGATGGCAGCAACTGGTGCACCAGACTAGCCTGCAGTAAGACTATCATGGCTTTGAGGAGTGGGGGTAAACTGAGGTCCGGCACCTTGCACAGGATCGACACAGAGAAGGTGTTTGATAAGCCTTGGCTGGTGGGATCTTCATGCAAACAGCCCAGCGTTCCTGGGAGGGCAGGAGAAGATGTGTGTCCATGCAGGTGGGTCTCAGGGCTCAGACCTGCAGCCACTGGCACACAGAGGTCAAAGGCCTTCCCTGGGTCGCATAGCAGGCTGTCAGGAAATGCAGGAGCAGAATCCAGGTGTCCTGGCTTGGGGCTTCTGCCAGGATGTTGGGTGTCCCATGAATCTGTAGAAGAAGTTCCAAGGAGGTTTAAGTGCTGAGCTTCTGAGAAGTAGCCCTGACAAGGGCACAAGACCTTCCTTTCATGGCCAGATCCTGCTCTACCAGAGGAGGGCTGGGGGGAGATGGAGGGCACCCCACATGCTCTTCTTCCCATGTGACCTTGGCCCTCCTCCCATTGAGAGATGGGTGTGTGTTCCCTCCCTTGGTTCTGGGTGGGCCATGACTCTGGCCCTTGGATACACCTGTGATTGAAGGCCAGCGTCCCCCGTACTCTCTTCATAGGCTTTGACCAGCCCCGTAATCGGAGTCTCTGACTACACCTTGGGCTTGGGGAAGGATAAGGACTCAGACCCCTAAAGTGTCATTTCTCAAAGACTGTTCTCTAGAACACCAGGCCCTCTACTTACTAATGGGTGTTCTGTCAAGATAAAGGGGGAGGGTCCTGTAATCAGATAAGTCTGGGAAGTGGATTAAATAAAATCAAACTCTCTTGCAGGACTTCTCAGAACATTTGCTAGCATTTACTAACTCTCTAAGAGGGACCTGGCATTCTCAGTGCTTCCCAACTTTATTTGACTATGGAACCCCCTCTCCCCTTTTCCTTTTCCAGATGGCATCTCGAGAAACCAATGTTTCCTGGAACATGTTTTGGGAGACAGTGTTCTAGAGCAACTTGGGTGTTAAGGAGGGCAATTTTTAAATAACAGAAGCAAAGCAGAAACAATGGTGGCATGTCAGGCATTAGCCAGGGCACTCATTGGGGGACAGGGGTCCCCAGGTGTGCCTCATGGATACTATCTCTGCCTCCCCAATAGAGCTCAGGTGGGCAGTCCGCGTGGGTGTCTCAGGCCATAGAGAGACGTACCCAGGGCTTGTTCCGGAGTGGGGCCCTGAGACCAGAGGGGTAAATTTACCCAATGAGGCCTCCTTCCCCCTGCCTGTTGGTGGCACCAAGGACCCCTGGGCCCTGGGCCTTGGGAAGCAGGAAAGGCAGGCCCCAGGCCTGGGCTCTGGCGGCTCCTCCCCTAGTCTGGTCTGCGAGCTAATGTCGCCTCAATGCTGTGGTCAGGCGGCCACGTGGCTGCGCTCCCTGGGCGGGCAGGGCTGCATAATGGACGGCCCAGACCCACCCGCTGACGGCTCCATTAAGTGTGGTCGATTTTTTTTTTTCTGGTTCCTGGTGTTTTAAGCTGAGTGTCTCTGGGCAGGCGTTCAAAGCCCCGTTCCAGAGCTAATCTCAGAGGCAGGGACGGAGCAGACCTGGCTGCATTAAACGGCTAAATCTGGCCCAGGGTGGGAGGAGCTCACTCGAGGAAAGAATAGCTTCACTGTGGTCTCGGACATTGGTCATCAGAGCTGGCTGCTCTCCCTGTCCTTCAGGCCGTCAGAGGGAGTTGCTGGGCGGTGTAGGGGGGCTGGGGAGTGGTCCCAGGTGAAGACATTGAATTTGAGGGCTCCATGCCTTTGCTATGTGTCCTCCAGGCAACTGCTGACCCTCTCTGTGCATTGGTTTTCATACTAGGATTAGCTCCTTTGTAGGCCTCTCTACAGGATGGGCTTCAAGAGGTTTGGGAGCTGGACATTCTCTGTAGTTGAAGGTTACCAGAATGTCGGGGTTGGGAGGAGCTTGAAGCCTTCCGAAGCCTGAAGAGAAAGTCCAGGCCAGCCAGCAGGGCACAGGGACCAAAGGTTGGGGGTCTAGGCAGGCAGTGGTCATAGGATGGCCCAGTGATGGGGAGTTGGGGCAGAAGAGACTCAGGCATTGGGGCCAGATGCCTTTTCGCATCATGCAATCTGAGCCCCCCTCTTTCTGGGGCTAGGACCCCAGAGCAGGGTAGGCTTGAAGCTCAGTTGTGCTGGTAGGTAAGGGGGAGAGGGGAGCAAAGGTCAGGACGGGGTGAGAAACCCCTATTGCTGAGCCCTGGGTGGGGGCAGGGCCCTTGCCCCAGGCCAGAGCCTGGAGAGGAGGCGAGCTTGCTGAGAAGCCGTGGGCCCCGGCTGGGTGGGAGGCACAGGGGCCGAGAGCAAGGTGGGCCCGACAGCAGATCCCACCACACAAGAGCCAGAAAAGCCCTTGGAGATCAAGTTCATCCCTTGGTGGGGACACTGAGGCTCGGGGAGGGAGGAGCTTGCTGAAAGTCACACGGTGGCAGACCTGGGACTAGAACTGGGTCTCCGATTCCCTGTCACATCCGTTCTCTGCTAGGTGGGGAGCTCCCGGGTCAGGAGCAGGCCCTGGTCACCTCCACGCCCCTCCCCAGCCCCGCCTGCACTTGGCCCCCAGCGTATCGGGGGCTCAGTCATCCAGGTCCCCGGATGAGAGACGTCTTGACCACCCAAGGTGGGGCAGGGCTGGCCAGAGGCGTGGGAGCAAGATGGACTAGGAGGCAGGTGATCTAATATCTAGTCCCTCGTGGCCACCAGCTTGCTCAGTGGTCTTGGTCGAGTCATTTCCTCCCTCTGGGTCTCGGTGTCGGCAGGTGTAAAGTGGGAGCGACTGGCCTAGCCTGGGGATCGTTCCGGGGCGTCTGGGTTCTCTGCGGTTCTTCAGGGGCTGGTGTTGGGGCCTCTCCAGCCAGCACCCTGACTGCCCACTGCAGCCGCCTGGTCTCCCTACGTGTCCTCTCCTGTCTTCTCCTCGTGGAGTCACCGTGAATCCTTCTCCCTCCCACCCGCCACTGAACTACACCTTCTATTGAATGTCTACTGTGTGCCCCACTGCCACGCGCTGGGCTCTTGCAGTCAGAGAACCGACAGTTCAGTTGAGGAGAGTAGGGAGGCAGGACACGGGCCCAGGACAGTGAGGGGTTGTGTTACTCTCCCATTCTGCTGTGACAGGTGGCCCCCATCTTACTGGCTTTAACCAACACAGATCTGTTATCCTACGGTTCTATAGGTCAGAAGTCCCACTGGGCTAAGATGAAGGTGTCGGCCCAGCTGCGTTCCCTCTGGAGGCGCCAGGGGAGAATCTGTTTTCTTGCTTTTTCCAGCTTCCGGAGGCCACCCACATTCCTCGGTTTGCGACCTCCTTCCTCCATATTTAAAGCCATCAGCCTAGCATCTTCCAATCTCTCTCTCTCTGAATCTGACACTCCTGCCTCCCTCATGCAGATGGGCCCAGATTCATTGTAGAGATGGGCCAGGATACTCCTCCATGTCAAATCCTTAACTTAAGCACACTGCAAAGACCCTTCCGTGCATCACAGATTTCAGGGATTAAGACATGGCCTCTTGGGGGGCCATTATTCTGCCTACTGTCAAGACAATCCCTGCTTCCAGAATTATCTGGTGGCACAGAAGTCCCGCCCAGGCCTTGCTTGGAGCCTGTCTTGGGTTTAAATCCCAGTTCCTCCAGCTGTGAGCTGTACAGCCATTGTAGGCAAATCTGTCAGCTGCTCTGAGCCTCGGTTTCCTTGTCTGTAAATCGAGGATCATAACACCTACCTCACAGGCTTACAGTGAACATCCGAGATACTGCAGGGAGGGTGCAGACCATAGCATCCAGGCCAGAGAAGCCACTCAATAAATGATCGCATCTGCTTGAACTTTTAGCTGGTATATCGCACGCCTCCTGGTTCTGGGTGGACTGCAGTGGCTGGGTCAGGACAGGCAGTGGATGAGGCTCAAGTTCCCCCCGCCCACCTGCAATGACATCCTGGGGATGGTCATGGGATGGGAAGGGTTCATGACACTTACACGCACCGGGACCCCTCCTGTCTCCCTCTGATTGTTTCATTCATGCAGCTCTCACTTGCTGAACTCCCACTGACAGAGGGACAGTGGTGGATAGGACAGACACACACGCTCCCAAGAAGCTTGTGCTCAAGTGTGTGTGGGGAAGGAACACTCAATAAACAATAAAGCTGTTATGTACACAGAATAGTTCCAGCTTGCTAAGTGTTAGGAAGGATATAAACGGGGAATGTGAGGGAAAGTAGTGGGGTAGTCAAGGAAGTCGCTCTGCTGCGACATTTAAGCCAAGCTCTAAAAATGGGAAGAGCCAAGCCTGGGGAGAGTTGGCTTAAAGCATTGACCTGGGCCTAAGGAACAGCATGTGCAAAGGCCCTGCAGAGGGAAAGATTTGCATATTCGGAGGCCAGTGTGGATAGAGCAAGAGTGTAAGGGAAGATGAGGTGGGAGGGAGGCAGAGCCAGATCCGGCAGAAATTTGGATTTTGTTCTAAGGATGAAGGGTGGAGGGTTTGGAGAAGGGAGACAGGATGATTTGGTTTATGTTTTTTTTGTGTGTGTGTGAGGAAGATCAGCCCTGAGCTAAGATCCAATGCCATTCCTCCTCTTTTTTTGCAGAGGGAGATTGGCCCTGGGCTAACATCCGTGCCCATCTTCCTCTACTTTATATGGGATGCTGCCACAGCATGGCTTGACAAGCGGTGCGTCGGTGCGCGCCCGGGATCTGGGCCTGCGAACCCCGGGCCGCTGAAGCAGAGCGCGCGCACTTAACCACTATGCCGCCGGGCCAGCCCCTGGTTTATATTTTTGAATCTCACTCTATCTGCTTGGTAGTTTGTGAACGCCTCCTCTGATATCACCCTCAGATATAGTCATTCGTTTTTCTGTTTTATAGATGAGAAGACTGAGACTCAGCGAATAAGGATAACAATGGCAGCTAACATTTCCGGAGCAGTTAGGGTGTCAGATTCAGCCCGGCGCTGTTAACACTGTCTCGTGTAATCGCGTTAGAATTCTTGGATGAAGGTAGCTGTGTCGTCCCCATTTCACAGATGGACAACCGAGCCTCAGAGGCCTGAGGAAATGGCCCAAGGTCACAGAGGAGGTCAAGACGGAGCTGGGGTTTGAGCACCGAGCTGTCAGAAAACGTCTCGTCAAGTGTCTGCTGATTCCTCGACAGGTGCCAGGCCCGTGTCAGGAGCTGGGAAACAGGTGACCGAGATGCAGACCCTGGCCGCAGGTGGCCGTGTTCTGGGGGAGAACAAGAGGACAGCGCAGCTTTGATAAGCCCTGGTCTGTAAAGCAAAGGGGTTTTCTCTAAAGTTTTTGTATTTAAGGGGAGAGCGGGAGGGGGACTTGAGGGACGTCGTGGGAGAAGTTGGAAGCCTTGAGGCACTAAGGGGAACAGAAAGAGCACTGGACAGGGCATCACTGGCCCCGGCCCTTGTCCCAGCTCTGCCACCACACATATTCATCAAACACCTCTGAGCACCTTCTAATGCCACCAAGGTGACAGAGAGCCAGTGTCCACTCTTGTAGAGCTCACAGTCTTGTGGGAAGCAGCCCCTGAGCAGGTGTGAGGAAACTTATGAAAGTGGAAATGAGGTCATATTTCTCACTGTGGCCCTCACAGCCATGCTGACCTTTGACCTCTCTTGCCACAGCTCCCATTTTGACCCCTCTGTCTGTGCTCCAGCCTCATGAGCCCTCTCTCAACTTCTTGAATGGGCCACGTTTTCTACACCCACAGGGCCTTTGCACATGCTGTCTCTATTTTTTTCCAGATCTCAGGTTTATCATCATTTCGTCAAGGAAGCATCCCTGACCCTCATGACAAAGTCAAGGCCCACCCATTAGATGCCTTATGACACTTAAGGTTGTGCAGTGAGTAAAAAAACCTCAGTCCACACACTCAGATGTGCAAGAAATGGAATCTTCTTTATTTTTATGTTCCATTAGTCTATTTGTGTTTCCTTGCATTAATATCACACTGTCTTAATGATTTTAGCATTATAATAAGTCTTAATATTCAGTGGCTTAAGTTCTTTAACTTTGTTCTTCAAGATCGCCTTGGCTATTCTTAACCTGTGCATTTTCATTAAAAAATTTTGAATTACCTTGTCAGTTTCCACCAAAAAATTCTGCTGCGATTTGGATTTGAATTGCATTGAATTTTTGGAGAACAGATAGTTTGATAATATTGAGTCTTCTAATCTATGAACATAGTATACTCTTCCATTGATTTTATGTCTTTAATTTCTTTTAACAATGTTTTATAGTATTTTTGTGTAGAGATTTTATACATCTCATTTTAGATTTATTATTAGTTATTTGATATTCTATTATAGATTATATATTTTACATTACATTTTCTAATTATTATTACTGGTATATAGAAATACAATTGTTTGCTAAATTTGCCAATTAATTTTGGTTATTTGTGAATTATTTTAGATTTTCTATGGATACAACCACATTGTCTCTTGCATCTTCCTTTATAATCTTTATGCCTTTTTTTTTTCCTTAACTAATTGCTCTGGCTAGGATCTCCAGTACAATGTTGAGTAGAAGTGGTAATAGTAGACACAACTGCCTCATTAGCAACCTCAGAGGAAGGTTCCCAGTATTTTACTATTAGGTGTGATATTTCCTGTGGTTTTATATAGATTCCTTTTATCAGGTTAAGGAAAATTTTCCTATTTTTTATATTTGCTTAGATTTTAAAAATCATGAATGGGTGTTGAATAGTATCAAATGACTTTTTTGCATCTATTGAAATGATTGTGTGATTTTTATCCTTTATTTCCTTTATTCTGTTAATATGATCAGTTCCAATAATTGATTTTTAAATGTTAAACCAAACCTCTCATTCCTGGGGAGAAAAACCCCAACTTCGTTGTGACTATAATAATCTATCTACCTGTGGATTTGGTCTGCTAGTATTTTGATAAGGATTTTTGCATTTATCTCATAATTATCCTTATAAGAACTCTTCAAGGAAGATAACTATTATTATCTCCACTTTACAAATGAACAACTGAGCCTTAGAGGAGTTAATTAATCATGAGAGAGATTGGTCTGTAATTTCCCTTTCTTGCCATGTTTTGGTATCAGGGTTATGCTGGCCTCAAAAATGTGTTAGAAAATATTATTTTAAAATACATTCTTTGGAACAGTTTGTGTAAGATTGGCATAACTTCTTTTTATGTTTGGAAGAATTCACCACTGAAACTATCTGTGCCTAAAATTTTCTTTGTGATACTTTTCTTTTTTTAATGGGTATGTTTCTTTTAAAATACATAGGACTACCCAGATTTTCTATTTCCTCTTTTGTCGGTTTATGTTTGTTGAGTTGTTTGAGGAATTTGCCTAGTTCATCTAAATTATCAAATTTATGAGTGTAAAACTTTACATAATATCTTCTGATTAATTTTCAAATATTTTTAATATCTGTAAGCTCTGTAGTGATGTCTCCTTTTTTCATTTCAGATTTTGGTTATTTACACCTTCTCCTACACAAAACCAGCTTCAAGAAGCTCAATGAAGCTTTCCAAGGTCCCACCAGCCTGCACACCACACAGCCATTTTTATTCTGGGGTCTTGCTGCCTCCTTGGGTGCTCCCTGGAAGCAAGATGTATAGACTTTTCAGATCCTATGAAGTTGTCTGGTGTTCTGTTGTCCTCCTATAATACTTGGCCTGTGGGAAATATAGCGTGGGGTCTGCCTTTCTCAGGGTGCCACAATCTCTACACCACTCTTCACTATTTCTGATTCTCCCCAAAGTCCGTATACTACCCCACTACACACGTACACATTCACACTTACATCAGCCCAGGAACTTTTACCTAATCTGAGGGATGGGGGAGGTTGCTCTCACTCCTTACATAATCTCCAAAATTTTTCCATAACCTGAGGTTTTGACTCCCTTTTTGAAGTTCCAAAGCCAGGAAGACACTCCTATTTTCTCTTTCTGCTGTCTCATTGCTTCCTTGAACTCAGACAGGCCAGAGCAAAGAGAGATGGGGTGAGTGGATAGAGATGAAGCTTGGGGAGTAGGCAGGTGAGCTTGAGTAAGTCATTTAATCCCTTAGAGCCTCAATTTCCCCAGTTGCAAAATGAAGGTAATGACCCCTATCCTGCCTCATTCTCAGTATAATCAAAAAGGATCAAATGAATGTTCAAAAGCAAGGACACTTAAAGAATGTTTATTTTATTGTGAACTATACCATCCACTCAAAAGGATATACAAACATACACATACCATGTAAGTAATAATAATTGCAAACAATTGTAATGTAATACACAAAAATGATAAAACAGATGCCTGTGTCCACCCACCCAGCTCAAGACATCACTGTACCTTTGAGACTCCTTGTGGGTCTCAACTGCTTCTTATCTATCTCCCAAGAGGTAACCAACATGCAGAATTTTATATTAATCATTCTCTTTCTTCTCCTTATAGTTTTACTCTTTAAAAAGACGGCTCTTAACAATGCATTATTTTAGCTTTGCCTATTTTGAGCTTTATATAAATGAATCCTGCTGTTTGTCTTTTTCTGTGACTTGCTTCTTTCATTCCTTGTTGTGTTGTGAAATCTATCCATGTGTTTTTGTGTGGCTGTAATTCATTCATTTTCACTGCTGAGTAATATTCCATTGTAGGAATATACCACAATGGATTTACTCATTTCCTATTGATGGGCATTTGGATTGTTTCTAATTGGGTCATTTCAAAAAATGCTACTATGAACATTCTTGTAGATGTCTCCATACCACAGCTGTGACTTAATGCAGACCAAAGATTTTCTTTAGGAGTGAAATTGCTGAGTCTTAGGGTATGTGCATATTTAATTCAAAAACATTATTTACTAGATGCATTAGTTTGCTATAGCAGCTGTAACAAATTACCTCAAACTTAGTGGCTTAAGAAAACACATTTGTTTTTTTTTTTGTGAGGAAGATCAGCCCTGAGCTAACATCTGAGCTAATCCTGCTCTTTTTGCTGAGGAAGACTGGCTCTGAGCTAACATCTATTGCCAATCCTCCTCCTTTTGTTTTTTTTTTTGCCCCAAAGCCCCCAGTAGATGGTTGCAGGTCGTAGTTGCACATCCTTCTAGTTGCTGTTTGTGGGATGTGGCCTCAGCATGGCCGGAGAAGTGGTGTGTCGGTGCGCGCCCGGGATCCGAACCTGGGCCGCCAGTAGCGGAGCGCACGCACTTAACTCCTAAGCCACGGGGCTGGCCCAGAAAACACATTTTTTATCTTATAGTTCTGAAGACAGAAGTCCAAAATGGGTCTCACTGGGCTAAAATCAAGGTGTTGTCAGGGCTGTGTTCCTTTCGGAGGCTCTAGGGAAGAAGCTGTTTCTTCACCTTTCCAAACTTCTGTAGGCTGCTACATTCCTCCGTTCATGACCCCTTCCTTCATCTTCAAAGCTGGAAGTGTAGCATCTTCAAATCTTTCTGATGCTGAGGGCTTCCTCTCCCACTTATAAGGACCTTATGATTATACTGAGCCCATGTGGCTGATCCAGGATAATCTCTCCATCTCAAGGTCAGCTGATTAGCAACCTTAATTCCATCTGCAAACCTAATTTCCCTTTGCCATTTATTCATATTCATAAGTTTTGGGGATTAGGATGAGGACATCTTTGAAGGGGAGGTATTATTCTGCCTACCACGCTAGACAACGCAAAATCGTTTTCTAAAGCTGTTGTCC